ACGAAGACCCCGTTCAAACCGAACAAATACGTTGCTGAAAATTTGGCAGAATATTTGTCGCCCATCTAGAATATCGTGTGTCTGAATGAATCAATTTGCATTTGCGCCAGTGACTTAGGGCACTTCAAAGATACCTGTGGCAAAGTGGCTGTTTTGCTGACTAGCCGTGGTGCAAGGCTCTGATTTTTGCCCGTTCGCAGACAAGTCGAAGCCTTATGCCCTCGCAAACCACTGTAAGCATTAACGCTGGTAGAGGACGAGAACAGCGCTGTAAATGACTGGAGTCTTAACGCAGGTGAACGAAAACCACCCAGCACCAGCCCTCGTAGCCAACTGTAAGCCCATTTGATAGCTTCCACACTGATAGTTTTTAGCTTCCGCACTGGTAGATTTTTTGTTCTTCCAGCTAACTGGAAGTATAGAGAAAGCAAAAAGCAGGGCTGTCAACTTTTTGGCTGCCCAGCTGTCCCTCCAGACACCTGCAGAAGAAGTCCAACCGAGGCATTTTTAAAACAAAAAGACAGCATCAAATACAATATAGCAAAGGATCGACATTTTCTTCACTAAAACGCCATAATTTCCTCAATTTTTTCCTTCAGTTTTTCTTCCTCAAAAAATTTCCTTATTCATTTTTTCGTGAATGTAAATTCACGACACCAACTGACTGGGTTGCATGTAGTTTTGTACTTTCCACATCTTTTTGGCACCTTGACTGACTGCTTTTCTGTGAAACTAGGTCAATGCTTGACTAACAGAATGTGGTTGTGTTTGGTCTGCTGGAAAGAAAATAGTGGCATACTAATGTATCGCAGTTGCAAGTCAAAAAGCAAATGGTCTTAGGGAAACAGTGACCAAAAACAGTGATCTCTGTGCTACAATGCGATCATATGGATGGAACAAAGAAGCAAATATCCCTGTAATCAACTGGTCATTGCTTGCACACCTCCTACGTACAGGAGGCACAAGCGCAAAGCTTCACTTTATATTCCTGGGTCGCTTCTTGATAGAAGCGTGTCCCAGATGTTAACGAGTAGGATCACTGAATCATGGGCGGCTTAAAAGCTCCGGTATTTTTTGGAATGCTACATAACGTGGCAGTTGAACTATGACAATTAGTCGAAACCGGCTAATGATTTAGGGTGGCTTGAAAAGCTCTGGTATTTTTTGGGATTCCACATAACGTGGCAATTAATTTTTAGAGAATAGACTCGCAAGTGGTTGCAAACGGCGCCGGACGAAATCCGTGCTTCCCAGCTGAGAAGTGTGTTCCAGGTACACAGGACCCGAAAGTGAAAACGTACTAGGAGGCACCGGTGGTCAGTAGATGCCCAGTTCATTGCAAAAAATAACATCAAATAAGCTGACATTGGCGCACGCCCTTGCTATGCTTGAATAACCGGTTTAATAATCCAGATTTGAGGTTTATTTCAAAAGAGCTGCTCTGTTGCAGATTTGCCGTGAATTGATTAAACTGTTGAAACTGGTACTCGTTATAAGTTTTTGCATGTATGCAAATGCAAAAGCGCATGTTTTCTCGCCAAAAAATCTCACAAGGCCGTGCATGAGAACCACGCACATCTGAGGGGTGAATTCGAAATTTTTAAGTTGTACGTGGGCTGGGAAACATCCTTTCGAAATCTCAATTTCCCAGCTTCCCTGGTTTCGAGTTAGAATTCCCGGCCAAAAATCTCCGGGGGCCCATACGTGAGGACCGAGCAAACATAGGGGTTGAATTTGAAATTTCAAAGTCCTACTTAGAGGGGGACATCCCTTCAAAATTT